CGATCTCAATATTTGTCTGGAATTGTCCAATTGGTGTTATTTTAGAAAGTCCTAATCCGGTAAGAGTTATTACACATTCACTATTAAACACGGGAGAACCTATTTCTTCATAAAAGTCCAATCTAATTAAGTTTACGTCGCTTCCTGAATCTATTAACGCATCTGCTATGTTTCCGCACAATAACTTTACACTCTTTACTGGTTTTGTGAGAATTCCGGGTTTGTTTACATCTAGAACGTCAACATCGCCGCCATGACACTTGTCATCCGTCATGTCATGATCTGGGCCAGTCGTCATTGCCGCAAGTGTAGCGCTGCCAACCTCGCAAACTCGGTCGTCGATCGCTGCGCCCCCTAGCGCCGTAGTGACGAATGTCCGCTTCGACTGTGTTCGTAATGTTTCCGCACTGCTGCCGGAACCGGAAGATGTTGCCGCCGCCGATGATGATGATGGCAACGGTTTTGGCTTCAATGGGCAATTTGGAGAAATATGTCCAAACCCGTTGCATCGGAAACACTTTTTCCCTTGGGTTTTGTGCGGACAATTTTCGCTCCTGTGGTTTTTCTCTCCACAGTCGTAGCACCTGTATGACGAAGCCTCCTCCTTGCGAATGTTACTGTCTTTTCCCTTTTCTATATAACGGGCCTTCTCTTTGATCATCTCATATATTTTTAGCTTCTCTTTCAATTCTGAGTATGTGGTAACGCCATACAGCATTATTTTATTAATTTCGTTGTCTCGTATACCATCGATAATGTATTTGATGGCCACGTAGTCCGCCATCTTTCCTCTTTTTCCAAGCTCCTTCATGACGAACATATAGTCAATGCATGACTCATTTGGCCTCTTCTTTCTAGCACTCATCATCTCGTGGATAGTTTTTGCATCGATCGCATCTGGAAATTCTTTTGAGATCGCTAGCTTAAGCGATTCCCAGCACTTGAATGCTTTTTCAGAGCTCAACCATAAAGCCGCTGTCCCCGTCAGTGAACGCCGCGCCACCAACAGTCTTTGTGTCTGCGTCCATTCAAAAATATCACCATTGTCGTCTATATCTTGAATCCACTTTGTTACAGGATATGCATTGTCCCTGCCGTTGAACTTCCTTATGACATCTTCTGCGTAGTGAAACGTAGTACCAGTACGCGTTGGCCGGTCGAGTACGCCGCCATCTTCGTCGTCACGCGATTGACTCTTACTTCGTCTTCTAGCCATCATAACCGTCGTAAAATCGTACCGCCAGCAACGTATACTTTTCCACGGTCACTACCGCAGGCGCCAGGCTGCCGCACTCGCGCTGTCCTGTAACTGATCTTCTTTTTTTTTCAAACGGGCACGTGTTCCGGCACGCCGCCGTTCGCTGATTTCGCGTATCCCGGACGAGCCCCCAAAAATTGTAGGGTGTTGGAAACAGCGAAACGGCCAGGAAATATTCTTGACTTTTATTATATTATACAGCTTTTAAAATCAAATGAAAAAATACAAAATCATAGCAGTTCACGTCTCGTCTTCCGTCCATCTCGTCTTTCGTCTGTTTCGCTTTCATTCGTTCCCTTTCTCGCTGTCCCGTTCATCATCTCACTCGCGCCGTTCGGATACACGTCTAAAACACTTTAGTTCAATCTATCACACGTTTGGATACATCCCATTCCCACATATATTTATTGTCTTTTATAGTATATTTTATTAACTCGTGTTGATAAAAATAAACAATCTGTTGACATAAATTTTTTGACACATGTCGCGCACGGTCCGAATACAGCCATTTTCGGTCGTCATACATAACAATCCTTTCTTGGCATGAAATAGTACTCTTTAAATTAGTCGGTTATAAATGTCTGTAAAAGAGTGTTTTATAAAGTGACGATGATAAATTACACGATAAATTACAATTCCGTCAAAAATAAATATATTTTTATTTTCTCCGTGGAATATTATAAGTAGGTAACCACATACATAATGTGGAATTTAAAGAAACAGCCAGAGAATTTGTAATTTTAACATTAAGTAAAACCACAAATCACATTATAAAGAACCTACACAATTACATTCGTTCACGAAAATTATCTCTGGATCGAACTTCGTATGCGTGTCCGAAAATAAAACAGGAGGTCTACTCTCTTTCTTCGAAACGAAGCTTTCGGAAACGAACGAAACTCGAACGAAAGAATGTTGACGACCCTACTCTGTTTTATTTTCGGACACGCATACGAAGTTCGATCCAGAGATAATTTTCGTGAACGAATGTAATTGTGTAGGTTCTTTATAATGTGATTTGTGGTAAATTACGGTTTTTACTTAAAATTAAAATTACAAATTCTCTGGCTGTTTCTTTAAATTCCACATTATGTATGTGGTTTGTAAAACTATTACTTATAATATTCCACGCAGAAAATAAAAATATATTTATTTTTGACGGAATTGTAATTTATCGTGTAATTCATCATCGTTACTTTATAAAAAACTCTTTTACAGACATTTATAACCGACTAATTTAAAGAGTACTATTTCATGCCAAGAAAGGGTTGTTATGTATGACGACCAAAAATGGCTGTATTCGGACCGTGCACGACATGTGTCAAAAAATTAATGTCAACAGATTGTTTATTTTTATCAATACGAGTTAATAAAATATACTATAAAAGACAATAAATATATGTGGAGAAAGGAATTTTATTGAATTGTATAAAAATTGATATTATTATAAAAACAGTTTTTGAGTGTTATAAACACACAATCATTTTCCTACCTCGGACTGTGCTAAAATGTAAAATTGGTGTTAGCAGAACATGTGAAGGATATGGAAGAGCAGGGAAGAGAAAATAATTAATGCGAATAATAATATGGCTGTGCGTTAATATTGATTGTGTAGTGGTGGAAGAAGACTGTGTGACAAAGCGAGTCGAAGCTAAATGTCCAATTATCTACATTTGAAAAGAAAACTGTCGTTGAATTTGATAAAAATGTATGCAATGTTAATTACTTAATATTTTGATAAAATAATGTAATAGAGTTAGAACAAAGCCATTCATGTTACACTCATGTTCAGTTACAAATGTATGTAAATGGGATGACAATGTGTGATATTTTTATTTTGAGCAGTATATGATAAATAATGCTCGTTTATGTTAACTTCATATAAGTACTTTAATGTGTTACAGTAACGATATTGTTTTAATGTTATATAAAATGCTAATAAGTTGTTTAAAATTATACTCCTTGTTATATTTGTTCTATTAAAAAATTGAAATTTATTTTAAAAGGATAATAAGTTTTTAATTTTTGTTTAATAAGTGCAGAACTTTAGGAAATAAAAATCAGTTATTTTTTTTAAGTGTGTTTTATTTACTTTTCCTTTTTTTACATATTTGTGCCGCGCTCAAATAATAGGCGACTGTCCTACAAACTCTAAGTCCGGAATTTGACTTAGGTATATTAAGTAGATTGCGCAGGCAGCGCCGGTTCCTTCTACGCTCTACACGTTCTTCACGTAAAAGAGCTTCGATTTAGAGCATTCTTGTAGCCATTTCAAACAATTTTCATACAAAATCCACACTAAACGAAAATTAAAAGGTAACACTTTTGGTTTCGTCAATTTGAAGTAAAAAATCCGAAAAATCGTCTGTCAAATTCAAAAGTTCGTTCGGAGCTAATAAGGATTAGAGTAGGTTCTAAATGTCAAACGTCTTCGTTCGAACGATATTTCGGAACGAATTGAAACCGTGGTAGGAAACACGCGAATTTTCGATCGAAAGTTCGTTTTTCGTAGAATAAGAGTAGACCCCCAGAGTAGGGTCGTCAACGTTCTTTCGTTCGAGTTTCGTTCGTTTCCGAAAGTTTCGTTTCGAAGAAAGAGAGTAGACCTCCAGATCCTTCCAATAATTTCGTTATTCATTTTTATTTATTCTCCTTCTCACTCTTTAATTTTTCATTTCTTTCACACAAAAACTTCCAGAAAGTTCCACAAAAACTTCCATCAACTAAAAAACTTCATGCTTACGGCGGGACTCGAACTCGGGGTCTCTCTAGTTTAATCCGAACGCCTTACCGATTACACCAACTCGTGTTGACAATTCACGACGAAATTTACAATCTTTAGGCAACGTTTGACAACCATCCATTGACGTCATGATGTCAAAGAGTTTGAACCACTTTTCCGTCACAATACTTTATCATTCATAATGTTAGTAATTCCACATTAATATTCAAGTATGTGGAAAATAACACTATACTTCAAATGAAACAATAAGTACTTCTAGTCCATAGAAATATAACGCATTCACATTTTCAAACCAAAGTTATCATAGGTTCATAAACAGAAACTCAGTATGAACAGTATATGCTTTTTTTTAAGGAAGGAAAATCTCGAAATCGCAACACCACCTAGGGTTTGGCGAGATGCTGACATCTACTAAAAAATCCCCCCGTTCTTAGGACAACTGCTCTAACCCAAAAATAAAAAATAAAAAAAAAACCGAAAAGTAACCTCGGCTCATATACATAGTCGTGGTGGCCCGGAGGTTAAGGAGTAAATTATTTGCACTAGATTATTTACAAATGGAACGCCTATGCATCGCGAGACTTAAAAAACTACAAGATCGAGTTCTTTTCCTCATATTGGTCCTCTATTAATATAATTTCATGAAACCTGAGTCGAAACTTAGTTGGAAGCTCCAAAAAATCCACTAACAAGATTTGAGGCCAAATTTAATACTGAATGTGGATGGATTTAGGAGCGTTTTTTTTTTCATTTACATATCCTGCAAATGCCACATTTGGAATAATAAATAAAAATACTTAAAAGCTTTTTTGTCAGTAAGGAAAATGAAATAAATTACTAGTCATATAATATTATCTCGGGGAAAATAATTAAGGGAAAACCTAAATGTAATATGACGCAATATTATCAAAGAAATCAATAATTATCTACTGAATTTTAATAGGTATCGTCTGGCAATTGAAAATCTATATAAAAGACATGATCATCGGTCATCGAGTTTTAAATTTAACTGTAAATAGCAAGATGCAGTCCTCGGTAGCAATTCTGTTGGCCCTAGCGGTGGCCGCCTCTGGGAGGCATATTACTCTTGAGGATGTTATTGAATTAGAAAATAACACTCCCTACGATTACATCAAGAGCTTACCGCTGATCCAGGAAGTCTTTATAGAAGAAAAAAATGAGAAAAACCCATCCAGAATAGTTGGCGGTTCATTTGCAGCACTTGGACAATTTCCGTATCAAGTAACTATAACGTGTGGCTATTATTATTATTAAGAAGATACAAAACAAAATCTAAAATACATTTATTTTACAGGCTGGACTTTTAATCCATTTACCATTTGGAACTTCTATTGCGAGTGCAATCTTAATCTCCAATAATAAAATACTAACTGCTGCACACAACTTAAACGATGGCGTATCAAATGTGCCAAGTGTGACTGTGGTCCTTGGAACAAACACTCTAATGTCTGGTGGTGTGAGACAGACCACTAGCAACTATGTTTTGCACGAAAATTATGACATTTCCCTGTTAAGAAGTGACATTGCTATCATCAATTTACCATCTCCAGTTGCGTTTTCAAGTAAGTTGAGTTACATACATTTTCTTAATTTGTTTTAAGCTGATGAAGAATAATTAATCAAATGATAGAAAAATGCCAGTAAAATGATAAATCTTATAAAACTTAATAACCTTATAAAAAAGGGGTTATTTACGCATACAAACTTAACTTGAATGTGTGTCAATGTTACTTAATAGTTCTAAACTCCAGGCTTCATCGCTCCTATCGCCCTGCCATCTGGATCTCAACTTGTAGAAAATTTCGCTGGTGACGTCGCCATTGCATCTGGTTTTGGAATCAATCCTGCAAGTACGGAAATTTAACATTCTTGTTATTTTTTGTTTGACAGAAATCTCGATTTTATTTGACTTATAACCCTACTTCTTCATTTGCTACACAGTTGGTGGTGTGATTCCAAACCAGCCGTTCAGCTACGTGGACTTGCCCGTGATCTCCAACGACGAATGTGCCTTATATTTTCCAACAGTTGTTCAGCCTGGAATTGTTTGCACGGGCAGTGTTGTTGGCAAAAATATTTGCACTGGTGACTCTGGTGGTCCTCTTGCCGTACTGAGAAACAATAACCCACTCTTGGTAAGTATAGTAAAGCAGGCTGTAAGACACCCACGGGTTACAAAATTTATAAAATATTCAGTAACCTCATAAAAAAATATATCGGAGTAGGCATGGACAATATTGTGTATCGTTTTAAACGGTGATCCTTGTAAAAATATTAATTTATATTATTTACAGATTGGTGTTGTTTCATTCGGACGACACGGATGCGATGGCGGTTCTCCTTCTGGATACGCTAGAGTTACACACTACGTAGACTGGATTAATGAACGTGTGTAAAATAAAACATAAATAAATTTATATACAATAAATAAATATATTGATGTTCAAAAACACTTTTTAAGTAATAAATGAAGCAAACAATGAATAAATAAAATTGTTTTTGTAAATAGACCATAAAACGTTACTTTTACACTTCAAAATTATATGTAAAACACTAGATGAAGTCGGCATTTCTTATCTGACTACTCTGAGAAGAAATGCCGAAACAAACTCAGAGGTTCGTCTCTTTTCAAGTCCAGACAATGTGAAAAATAATATAATGTGTGAGAACCGTGTAAGTTCATTCCGTAGTGGACTTTTGTAGAAAAAACCACACCAGTGTAAGTAGACCCGTTCTGAAGAATGGCACGCAAATGTCAGTTTACAACTAGTTAAACAAAAGGGTGTAGCTGAGTTATCCGACGAACAATACCCTTCAAAACAACATTTAGATGGGTCGTGCAAATACCCATACTTTCGTGGGTATCGAATAAAGTCTTTTTATTTATATTTTAATGTGTAACACAGTGTGTTTGATTAGATGTTTGCGTTTATCTTCGAAAAATTCTTATTATACATTTTTTAACATGCTAATATATTTTAGGGTGGGTTTACAAACAATTTCTGGATCACACAAAGAGTTATTTCATGCGGTAATCTATCTCGCGATACGTTGCACATCACGCGAACCACCTCAGGAAAGCAGCTTCTATTCAAGTTTTAATATGAAACCCGTGTAATAAGATGTTTCCATACCAATACCGACCTAGACTATTAATAATAATTAATAATAAGAATATAATATTCATAGGGAAACCAAATTGTTACTGTACGTTTAGGTTTAGTACTTACTAGTTTTTATCTATATCTAAAATCGTTATTACTAATCTGTTAAATATATGTCTTATCTCTTTTAAAATTATTAGCCTATATAAATGGGAATGTCTCTTGACAATCACACAACGTATGTGAACGGCAACATGAAGTTGTTGGCAGTGACTTTGTTGGCTCTAGCAGTGGCCGCCACCGCGAGGCACATCACGCTTGAAGATGTCATCGAATTAGAAAATAACACTCCCTACGATTACATCAAGAGCTTACCGCTGATCCAAGAAGTCTTTATTGAAGAAAAAAGTGAGAAAAACCCATCCAGAATAATTGGTGGTTCATTTGCAGCACTTGGACAATTTCCGTATCAAGTAACTATAATGTATGGCTATTATTATTAAGAAGATACAAAACAAAATCTAAAATACATTTATTTTACAGGCTGGACTTTTAATCCATTTACCATTTGGAACTTCTATTGCGAGTGCAATCTTAATCTCCAATAATAAAATACTAACTGCTGCACACAACTTAAACGATGGCGTATCAAATGTGCCAAGTGTGACTGTGGTCCTTGGAACCAATACTTTAATGGGTGATGGTATAAGACAAACTACCAGCGACTTTGTTTTGCACGAAAATTATGACATTTCCATATTCAGAAGTGACATTGCTATAATCAACTTACCATCTAAAGTTGAATTTTCCCGTGAGTATTATATCCACTTTCATTTGAATCTCTTTTTAACCGACTTCAAAAAAGGAGGAAGTTCTCAATTCAACGCGTATTTTTTTTTTATGTATGTACACCGATTACTCTTAGACGCCTGGACCGATTTGCAAAATTCTTTTTTTATTCGATAGGGTATACTTGCCATTTGGTCCCATTGTCATGAGGTCAGGATCTGATGATGGAATCCTGGAGAAACCCAGAGGAACTTTCGAAAATTGTAGGTTTTTTGTATGATGTTTAAGTAGATCTTTAACAACACTACAACTTGACGAAGGTCGAAGTCGACCAGATGTTGGAGCTGGAAGACAGTCGAGGGATCTCCTTGACTATTTGGAATAATTGCCTTATGTTTGGGCTTGAATGATTCGTATTGGCGAGCACTTTGCAGCAAGCTTGGTCGTAACTGTCATTAGGGATCTGATGATGAAGACGAACGACAGTCTAGGGAACTCCTCAACGGTTTACAGTAGCTACCTCGTGTTTGGACTAGCTACCTGGTTAAGAACTTTCCCTCTCCTAGAGAGATAGCCTGTGTCCCAGTAGTGGGAACATTAAAATGGCTGATGATGATGATGATAATGATGAGAACTTTCCCATTTCTTGGGATCTATATTTTTTTAATCGGGCGGCTCCTTTCGTTGGCCTACACATAGCTACTTAAAAATATATACTATTCAATATGTTAATTTATATCTAAAATATTACTGTAGTTTACAGAAGAACTTGCAACAGACACTAAAAAGAAAAAAATAAAAAAACTACGTTTACAAAAACCGACTTCAAAAACAAAAAAGTGTCAAATAAGTAATTTAAATTGATATTTTAATAGCACTCTTACGTACGCGAAGCTAATACTTTTAATATTAATAGTAAAACACTATCAATTCTATGTGCTACCTATTCATAGGTTTGAAGTCGGTGCCAAGCCCTAAACAGAATAAAACTAAATGAGAATTAAGACTGTTTAACTGCTAAAAGACGAAATTTCCACAACTAACAACGCAGCTACCTACTACTACTTTTAACAACCAAGTACGAGAAAACTTTCAGAATTCATAATTCATACAAATATCTTTCTAAGCTATATACAGTTTCGCCGGTAACGAAACCATTATAGACTTCTGATTCTACGCTAACGCCATCAAGTTAGAAAATCGGTACTAAATTTCTTAAATCTTAACAAATAAATTCAAACGCGCCCGGCGAGTTTAGGTACTCATGTAATCATGCTTATTATATTATGTATTAGGCTTGGCACCGACTTCAAACCTATGAACAGGTAGCACATAGAATCGATAGTGTTTTATTATTAATATTAAAAGTATTAGCTTCGCGTACGTAAGAGTGCTATTAAAATATCAATTTTAATTACTTATTTGACACTTTTTTGTTTTTGAAGTCGGTTTTTTTAAACGTAGTTTTTTTTCATTCCAAATTCCATAAGATAGAGGCAGTGCCAATTTGTAGTGACTTATACAGTTCAGTTATGCTTATAACTTAAGAGGTGGATTAAATCTTGCAAACACCTCAAAAGCGATCCCTACGACCTGGTACCCTAGGCCCAGTTTTATTATTTTATAAATCAGCCCTGGATACTAGATATATAGATATAGAGATAAGATAGTTTGATTGCGTAACGTATTGCTTTAAATTCAGATGTAACTTTCTTTAAAAAAAAATCTAGGTATATTGTGCAGCTAAAGAAATTGGTCCAGCTACCCTGGTTTACATTTTCACCGAAATTTAAATATCAAATCAGAATCGACGTGCGTCCAAATGTTTTTTTTTTAGTTACTTATTGTGCTGGTCATTTCGTTTTCTCATAAATATTTTGCCATGCTGTCACATATTCACAGCAATGGCGAGTCTAAAAAATAAAACATCTCAAATGTCGGTCCGACACATATCGAAATACAAATAGACATTTCATTTCGTAAATTTTCATCGCCAGGTAACCTCGCTGCTATTGCTCTTCCTTCGGGATCTCAACTCGAAGAAGATTTTGCTGGTGAGGTTGGAATTGCTTCCGGTTTTGGAAATAATCCTTCAAGTAAGAAAATTTTAGTATATTTAGTGAATGCTCAGAAGTATTAAAACACTAAAAAAATATTTATAATACTTTTTATACAGTTGGTGGTACACATGCAAATCAGCCACTTAGCTTCGTCGACTTGCCTGTGATGTCAAACAACGATTGCGCGAAAATTTACGGTTCGTTTATTCAGCCTGGCGTTGTTTGTACGGTTGGTGTTGTCGGCAAAAATATCTGCAGTGGTGACTCTGGTGGCCCTCTTGCTGTTGAAAGGAATGAAAACCCCCTCTTAGTAAGTTTATGCTCAGTTGAAAATATAGAAATTGTAGCACACTTTAGTACGTGTATCCATTTATAGTGAATTAGTTTTATGAAGTTTCATGAAGCTTCGCCCTTCGCCCGATTATAAGGGTGTTTTTGATCCTTAATCTACACATTTGATTTGATTAGGTCGCAAATGTAAACAGCCTTAAATAAACCAGTATCATTAGAAAACTAGGAAACTAAAGAAGGGATACTGATTGTGTTGTAAAACGTTTCTTCTTTCAACAGATTGGTGTTGTTTCGTTTGGGCCCAGGTTTTGTGGAGATCATGGTCCAGCAGGTTACTCCAGGGTTAGCCACTACATTGAGTGGATAAACGAACGTCTTTAAAATGTTTAAAACATAAATAAATCCAACAAGTTTAAATAATATACGAATTGTTTTATTTGACTACTACTCATTATGCAAAAAAAAACTAATCCTTGTGATAATTTTAGGATTTTTGGTATTTTACCGCAAAAAATGTCTATATATAACGAGGTACATACATCATCATCGGCCACTGCTGAGCAAAGGCCTCTTCTCACACGGAAAAGGTTTGAGCATTAATCACCACGCTCGCTTAAGGCAGATTGCCGATTTCAAAATTATAATAATTTCCATACGATGTTTTCCTTCACCATATGTCAGTGGTCATAATCTTAGATAATACATATAACTGGGAAAAAGTCACATTGGTACTTGCCAGGTGAAGTACCTACTATAGTAGTTTTATTTATTTGATTTAAGTTAAATGTTGCCACTTTGCAAGTTGCAAACTAGGCATATCACCTAATGTTAAGCGATCATTGACGCCTACGAACACTAGTAATACAGGAGGCGACAGAACTGTTATTTGCCTTTTAAAAACGAGTGCATTCTAATCTATATAAATTATAAGTTAAACAGCCAACCCGGATCAACATAAGAATAAATCAGTAAAAGCAGTACCGAAACCACAAATCACAAGGCATTTCATAGAGGTGCCGCAACCTTGGAATAAATCAATATCTGTTTAAAAAAAAGGTACTGACAAAGCAGATTAAAAGAAATATAACACCAATAACTATAACTAGCTTAGTAGAGTAAGTATTCCAAAATCAAAAGTTAATCTAAAATACGCAATACTGGCATTAAATTTCGTTCCACACTGGTTTATCTAAGAACACTGACTGAGTTTATGATAGTAGAAAAAGTCCATGTTTTTGATTAATCACCAGATTTGCGACTAAATAATAATAAAATATTTTAGAACGTACTTATTGCCCTCGATACTGTGTATTTATCTTACCTATATCTGCCTTGAAACTACGTAATAGAGTGACATTCTTGGAGAAACCAAATTAGTTCAATTTCAATTTTATGCTGATTTTTATCGAATCTAAAATAAATGTTAATCTGCTAAATAGGACTTATCACATTTTCGAGAGCAACAGTATATAAACCTGAATGTCTTTTGATAAATCACACAACATATGTGAGCAGCAACATGAAGTTCTTGCCAGGGATTTTGTTGGCTCTAGCAGTGGCTGCTTCCGCGAGGCATATCACGCTTGAAGATGTCATTGAATTAGAAAAAAACACTCCGTATGGTTACATCACCGCGATCAGCTTATCATTAGCTGACGAAGTCCGTATAGCTGAAGCGGAAGGCAGACAGAGTCCATCCAGAATTGTTGGCGGCTCATTAGCTGCTCTTGGGCAATTCCCATATCAGGTGGGTTCACAAAATAAATATGAAAACATTTCAAATCAAAGCAAGTCGTTATTCTATAGAGCTTTAGGAAAAATGACAATAACTGGACTTTTTACCCCCTATTGTTGGTAGAAACTTCAAATACAACCAGTTGTTTTCTTTTGCAGGCTGGCTTAGTATTACATCATCCTATTGGTGATGGTGTAGCCAGTGCAGCGCTGATCTCCAACAATAGAATACTAACGGCTGCTCATAACTTAAACGATGGCAGATCCACTGTCCCAAGTGTGACTGTGGTCCTTGGAACAACCACTCTAATGTCTGGTGGTGTCAGACAGACTACTAGCAACTATGTTTTGCACGAAAATTATGACATTTCCCTATTAAGAAGTGACATTGCTATCATCAATTTACCATCTCCAGTTGCGTTTTCAAGTAAGTTGAGTCACTTACATTTTCTTAATTTGTTTTAAGCTGATGAAGAATAATTACTAAACAAAACGAAGTGTGGGAGAGCCATGCTTCGGCACGAATGGGTCGGCTCGACCGGAGTGATACCACGGCCTCACAGAAAACCGGCGTGAAATAACCACAGCGTTGTGTTTCGCCGTGTGAGTGAGGTTACCGGAGGCCCAATCCTTCCCCTCCCCCAATCCCTCCTAAATCCCTAATCCCTCCCTTACACATACAAACTTAACTTGAATGTGTGTCAATGTTACTTAATAGTTCTAAACTCCAGGCTTCATCGCTCCTATCGCCCTGCCATCTGGATCTCAACTTGTAGAAGATTTCGCTGGTGACGTCGCCATTGCATCTGGTTTTGGAATCAATCCTGCAAGTAAGGAAATTTAACATTTTTGTTATTTTTTGTTTGAAAGAAATCTCGATTTTATTTGACTTATAACCCTACTTCTTCATTTGTTACACAGTTGGTGGTGTGCTTCCAAACCAGCCGTTCAGCTACGTGTACTTGCCCGTGATCTCCAACGACGAATGTGCCTTATATTTTCCAACAGTTGTTCAGCCTGGAATTGTTTGCACGGGCAGTGTTGTTGGCAAAAATATTTGCACTGGTGACTCTGGTGGTCCTCTTGCCGTACAGAGAAACAATAACCCACTCTTGGTAAGTAAAGTAAAACAGGCTGTAAGACACCCATGGGTTACTAAATTCATAAAATATTCATCAACCTATTTAAAAAAATATTTCGGAGTAGGCATGGACAATATTATATGTTATATTATAATATCGTTTTGGACTATGAACCTTGTAAAAATATTAATTTTTATTATTTACAGATTGGTGTTGTTTCATTCGGACGAGGCGAATGCGATGGCGGTTCTCCTTCTGGATACGCTAGAGTTACACACTACGTAGACTGGATTAATGAACGTCTGTAAAATAAAACATAAATAAATATGTTGATGTTCGAAAACACTTTTTAACTAATAAATGAAGCAAACAATGAATCAGTGAATTTATTTTTGTAAAAAGGGCATAAAACATTACTATTACACTTCAAAATTATATGTAAAGCACTTGATGATGATACTTTGAGAAGAAATGCTGAAACAATCTCAAAGGTCCGTCTCTTTTCAAGTCCAGACAATGTGCAAAATAATATAATGTGTGAGAACCGTGTAAGTTCATTCCGTAGTGGACTTTTGTAGGACAAACCCCACCAGTTTAAGTAGACCCGTTCTGAAGAATGGCACGCAAATTTCAGTTTACAACAAGTTAAACAAAAGGGTGTGACTGAGTTATTCGACATTTGGATGCGTCGTGCAAATACTCATACTTTCATGGCTATCGAAATAAAGTCTCTTTATTTATATTTTAATGTGTAACACAGTGTGTTTGATTAGATGTTTGCGTTTAACTTCGGAAAATTCTTATTATAAATTTTTTAACATGCTAATATATTTTCGGGTCTTATACAAACAATATCTGGATCACACAAAGAGCTGTTTCATGCGGTAATCTATCTTGCGATACGTTGCATATAACGCGAACCACCTCAGGGATGCAGCTTCTATTCAAGTTGTAATATGAAACCCTTGTGATAAGACGTTTCCATACCAATACTGACCTAGACTATTCAATCAATCAATCAATAAGCTCTCTATCCTGAACTTCATATGTTGTATGTGAGGTATTTGTTTTCCTCTTTTAGAGGATATCCCTTAGTTCAGTGTGCCTTCTGGCAAAGGCCTCCTCTAACATTTTCCATTGTATCCTATCTCTGGTAACCCTTCTCCAGTAAGGGCCCGCTGTAAGTTTTAGCTCGTCTTCCCATCTTTTGAGTTGTCTTCCTCGTTTCCTTTTTCCATCTCTGGGATACCAGTCTGTCACAATTTTACTCCACTTATCCTGAGTACTCCTTAACATGTGGCCCACCCATCTCCATTTTAGTTGGTCTATCTTCGTAAGGATATCCACAATTCTTGTTTTGGATCTTATAAGGGTATTTCGTTTCCTGTCTTGCTTCTTGATGCCCAACATGCTTCTCTCCATCGCTCTTTGACAGCACTGCAGCCTATCTCGGTGGTATTTCGAGAGAGACCATGTTTCACACCCATATGTGATGCAAGGTAGGATGCAAGTGTTGTATACTTTCCGTTTTGTACCGACGCTAAGGTCGTTGGCCTTCATGATTTCTTTGAGTGACCAATATTTTCTCCAACCGTTTGCTATCCGCCTTTTGATCTCCTTGTCCGTCTGATCCTTGAATGAGATGATCTGTCCCAGGTATATATACTCTTCCACGTATTCGAGAGGTTCGTTTTTTAATGATATAACTCGGTAGTCAGAGTTTGTCAGAAGCTTGGTTTTAGTGGTATTCATGGATAGCCCTATTTTCTCACTTTCTCTGTTCAGGTCTTGGATCATCTTCTCTAATTTTTCAGGGTTTTCTTCGACGATGACAATATCATCTGCGAACCTTAGGTGATTTAGTCTTCGTCCATCTATGCTTAGACCAAGTTGGTCCCATTCCAGTTTTCTGAATATATTCTCCAACACTGCAGAGAAGAGTTTGGGGGATAATGGATCCCCTTGCCTGACACCTCTGTTTATATTGAAGGTCTCCCCCAAACTTTCTAGTTGTATTCTTGCTTTAGTGTTGGAGTATATAGATTTGATGGTTTTTATATATTGTGTGGGGATTCCTTGGTGTTCAAGACTTTCCCATATGGCTTTGTGGCTAATGCTGTCGAAGGCCTTGGTGTAATCGACGAATGCCATATACAGACACTTATTATACTCGTTGTATTTTTCTATGAGTTGTTTGATAGTATGTATATGGTCCACTGTGGCAAAGTTTTTTCTAAAGCCCGCCTGTTCCATTGGTTGGTTTTCGTCTAGTTTAGTACTTATGCGGTCTAGAATAATTTTGGAGAAAACCTTATAGACGTTGGACATCAGACTTATTGGTCTATAATTTCCAATATCTTCTTTTGGTCCTTTTTTATATATAAGGATTATATGAGATGTTTCCCACTGCTCAGGTATGTTTCCTGAAGTTATAACTTTGTTGAAGATTTTAGTTAGAATAGGAGCCAGTTCTTCAACTGTTCCTTTCAGCAACTCATTCGTAATCTTATCAGGGCCTGGTGCTTTATCAGATTTTTGGCTTAGTATTGCTTTCCTGACTTCACTGGGTAAGATTTCGGGCTCTGGGTCTGATGGGCATGGGTTAGGTGTACGGATTTCATAAATTCCCTGATTGGTGTCATCTTGGTTGGAGTATAGATGCTGGTAGAATTGTGTAGCTGCTTTGTTTATTTGTTTTCGATTTGTGATGTTGCAGTGGTTATTTTTCAGGGTTGGTATCCATTGATTTGACTCGCGTAGTTCTTTAAGAGCTTTTCTTGTTCCTCCAGTAGCTAAAATATGTTTTTCTAATTTTTGTAGCCTCCCGGCCTTTCTATCTTTCCTGATGCCTTCCTTGATTTTCTTACTCAGCTTGATGATCATTTGTATATTCTCTTTTCTCATTTTGCTATTGAATAGACATTTTCTTTCCCGGATTAGTTGTAGTGTTTTATCTCTCAGTATATATTTATGTTTGGGTGGTTTACTGCTCTTGGTACCGGTAAGATGACTTTGTAGTTTGGCATAGCTTGCTTTGACATCACTTTTGTAATCTTCCAGTAATTCCTTGCCAAGTATTACCAAGGAACGGGCTGTAACTTTGGTGTCTTCTGGATGATGAACCATGCTGGATGTTGTAATATGTTTTCTAGATTTTTTGGGTGGTATTAGTTTGAGAGATGCTCTTATCATACGATGGTTTGTATTAAAGTTTAGCTTTGTTATTACTGAAGTGTTTGTAAATAATCTTGGGTGATTGCACATAATATAGTCTATCTCGTTTTTGTATTTGCCATCTGGAGAGGTCCATGTCCACTTGTTTTTCTTGTTTTTCTTGAAGATACTATTCAAGAGAGTTAAGTTGTGCTCCAGTGAAAATTCTATTAGCCTTTGCCCATTTGTACTTCTTTTGCCATGGCCAAAGTTCCCCAGTACATATTCGTCTTTGTTTTGCTTGGTCCCTACTTGAGCATTAAAATCTCCCATAAGAACAATTATATTTTTTGGATATTTGTATATAACTTGGGAAAGGTTATTGTAGAAGACAATGTGTTCAGATATTGCAGCTTGTTCGGTTGGTGCATAGGCTTGTATTATTGTCCATGTTTTTTCAAAGCCAGATATTTTAATAAGTAAAATTGCAATTCGATCATTAACTCCAATGAAATTCAGTATATTATTTCTTAGGTGTGTTTTTACCATGAATCCAACTCCTCTTTGTCCACCAGTTTCTCCTTTGTTAAACATAATATATTCTGTGTGTTCTTCTATTGATTCACCAGCTCTTCGCATTTCGCTTATTCCCAGTATATCCCAATTGAGTTCTTTCAACGCTTCCTCAAGCTCTAATAAAGATTCATTTGTTCTTAATGTCCTGGCATTTAATGTTGCAAAGTGTAATTTGTTGCTTTTTGTTAGAGGGTGATGGTCTGTTTCTCCCGCGGTGACCAGCCGTGGTGGGAGCATTGGTTGTTGAATTTTGTTTTGGTGTTGTTTTGGTTGTAGATTTATTTGTTGTGGTTGACTTAGTTGACATAGTTGCAGTTTGTCGGTTCCTATTGGTATTGCGTTAGTTTTTGTATGTAATGGTCCCCGAAGTGGAGTGTGATCTCTCCCGCAGGTGTTGAAATGTATTTATCTTTGGCAATTTAGAGGTACTTTTATTCTGCTGGTTGGGGCTTGGAGTGTCAGATCTTTTTCTTTTTTCACTGTCTTTATTTGTGTTAAGGTTTTTAGTTTTTGCTTGTAGCACTGCCTTCGGTAGATCATGTGTAATGTATGTGCCAGATTTCATTTTCTTTTTGTTTTTTAAAATCTGGATTTTTTTCCCAAGGGTTGTGGTAGCCAGCAAGATTGGTCTGATTTTGACGTCATTGTCTCGTTTTTTACCCAGTCTCTGAAGTCTATCTATCTCCCCTATTTCCAGATTCACCTCAATTTCTTTCAACGTTGACGTGACGAGCGTAGTCAATTGTTCGTGACTTTCTTCGTTAGGCTCTGGGAGCCCATGGATTATTACGTTTTTACGCTTGGTGTTTGCCTCGAGATTTATTAGCTTGTTGTTTAGTTTGTTCACTTCGTTTCGCAGGTTTTGGTTCTCTTCAATAATCGGTTTTAGTTTTTCATCCACTTTTTGTAATATAACGGCAGTAATATTTTCTGTTATAACATTAGTTTGTATTTTTAGTTGTTCTGTCATTTTTGTAAGGAGCAGTGACATTTCTGGTGACAGCTCGGAAGACATAACTTACGGAGAAACGGAACGCAATTCTTGTTTATGAGCAAGTTTCTGAACGCACACTTTATGTTGGTTTGGTTGGTGCTACTGCACAAAGACAGCTTTGACCGACTGAGATATAACCTCAAAGCTGGATGACTAACTTTATTTTGAAATTGGATCACTGAATCACTGTTTTTGTTGTAAATTTTTATTGTTTATCGATGCACACAAGCACTGAGTTTATGTAGGAAGGCACTGGTTTGACTCGCGGGTGTTAATGTGCACTATCTTTATTTTATTTGTGAGAGCGTTTACAATCACCCGCGACGTTTAGTTGTACCGCTACCGGACCTAGACTATTAATAATAATTAATAATTGCGATTGTCCTTGGGTGCACTTATATAGTGCATACAGGGATAATTGCCGGCTGATGTCCCAGCACATTTAGATTAAAACTGTTCAACGGGCCTCTGCGAGTTGGCTTCGGCTCCTCGTACGCCTTCCAAAGGTCCGGGACCTGTGGTCCCGTGAAAGGAAAGAACAAACAAATAATAATTAATAATAAGAATATAATATTCATAGGGAAACCAAATTGTTACTGTACGTTTACGTTTAGTACTTACTGGTTTTTATCTATATCTAAAATCGTTATTATTAATCTGTTAAATATATGTCTTATCTCTTTTAAAAGTATTAGCCTATATAAATGGGAATGTTTCTTGACAATCACACAACGTATGTGAACGGCAACATGAAGTTGTTGGCAGTGACTTTGTTGGCTCTAGCAGTGGCCGCCACCGCGAGGCACATCACGCTTGAAGATGTCATCGAATTAGAAAAGATCACTCCTTACGGTTACATCACCGCAATCAGCTTACCATTAGGTGACGAAGTCCGTATAGCTGAGGAGGAAGGCAGACCGAGCTCCTCCAGAATAGTCGGTGGTTCATTAGCAGATCTTGGACAATTCCCCTACCAGGTAGGCTCTTAAGATAAATACAAAATAATTTCTAATGAATCTGAACAAAAATTAAAGTAAGATATTTTGCTCTCAGAATAGTTAAAAAAAATACAATGTGTTTAATTTCGCAGGCTGGCTTAATTTTACATCACCCCTCAAGATCCGGTCTCGCCAGTGCATCCTTAATCTCCAACAACAGAATTCTAACTGCTGCACACAACTTAAACGATGGTTTTTCGAATGTTCCAAGTGTGACTGTGGTCCTTGGAACTACCACTCTAATGTCTGGTGGTGTAAGGCAGACAACTAGTGACTATATTTTGCACGAAAATTATGACATTTCCGTAGTCAGAAGTGACATTGCTATCATCAATTTACCATCTCCAGTTGAGTTCTCAAGTAAGTATTGGTTGTGACACTTACATGATCTCAATTTGAAAATTGAACTACGTAAATTGGTATAATGTAATTTTGAACAAAGATTTTCCATTGCCCTCTTTTTGTTTGAGTTTCGTGATACTAATTTTATATGGGTACCTATCTCTAAAATCCAATAACTCAGTCGTTCTAATTTGCAGACACCGTCGCTCCCATTGCTCTGCCTTCTGGATCTCAGCTTGAAGAAGATTTTGTCGGTGAAGTTGCTATTGCCTCTGGTTTTGGAATGAATCCTGGAAGTAAGAAAACTTGGTATTATTTCAATACATTTCATAATCAGCCCCTAAGTGCCCACTGGTGAGCAAAGGCCTCTTCTCACGCGGAGAATGTTTGAGCATTAATTACTACACATGCTCAAGGTGGCTTGGCGTTGAATTCAAACTTATATTTAGACATCATCAGTTTAGGTTTCCTCACGATGTTTTTCCTTCACCATATATCAGTGATGTCTAAATAATCATAGAAAGTACATTTAACTCCTTTACTCTTTAAATTTTTCCTACTCCTTTACTCTAACTACTTTACTTGCCTTAACCTCCGAGCCAGTATTATTATTTCAATAGTATTTTTATTTAATTTGACTTCTAAATCTATTCGTTTATTTGTTACACAGTTGGTGGTGTACTTCCTAACCAGCCGTTCAGCTACGTGGACCTGCCTGTAATCACGAACGATGAATGTGCCGTGACTTTTGGAACATATATTCAGCCTGGAATTATCTGTACGGGAAGTGTCGTCGGCAAAAACATCTGCAGTGGTGACTCTGGCGGTCCTCTTGCTTTACAAAGAAATGGCAACCCATTCTTGGTACGTATAGTAATAACTACCTTTAAAATTCTTAGGACCATATATTCCTTTTTAAAATGACAACATCTAAATATCGACATAATACTCATTCATGTATATTGTATACTTCTATAAGGTAGTGATGAAGTCCATTTTTATCTCCGACTAGACAAAGTGTTTTCAATACATTTTTCGGATCTTCATCAATAAACATATTATATAATATAGTTTACAACATATAATTACGCAGGTATTAACGCGAAAAATTGATATTTAAATACCTTGGTAGGCTCGACGTTTCGACCTGGTATTATCGTATCGTATTTAAATATATGTTTTAAATATGAAACGCGTAAGTTTAAAGGTTAGGATCTATACAATTGTTCTGAATGTTCTGGGTTAAGTCAAATGTGTTATTCTTCTTGCAGATTGGTGTTGTTTCGTTCGGACGCGGTGGTTGCGATGGCGGTTCTCCTTCTGGATACGCTAGAGTTACACACTACATTGACTGGATTAATGAACGCCTGTAATAAACATGAATATATAAAAGTACTTAAATAAAATTATAATAACTTTAAAAAGAAACCAGTATTTCATTTTTTATAATGATGATGATGATAGGTTTACTCATGATCCTTTAGGTGAATACAGGAGTGTCAGACTCTTACTGACTAAAAACCCCCTGTTCCTTCTCCTGCTCTGGGCCGAGGTCGCGGTGCCTCATTGCGCTTACTCCGCAACACCGGCTGATTTATATGGTATTCTGGAATAACTTTGCGTTCATGCAAACAGGTTACACTTTTTATAACCATATTCTTCTATTTGGTAACACACACCATAGCAATAACAGTAATCTAATAATTTCTAAATAAAACGTCTAGTTTTTAAATCTTCAAAAAACAGCTTATATCACAGTATACTAAACAATACTTTTCACAACTCTTTAATCGACACTTATAAGGCATCGCGGCCTCGGTCTGGAGCAGGACAAGAAATGGGGTGATTTTTGTCAGTAATAGACACTGACACTTCCTCTCTCCTCACCCTAGGTGATGGAGGAAATAATTGTGATTATATTCCTTTTAAAAAATGTGTACAGTATATTCTGTAATTAACATTGTATTAGTTGTAGTGTGATAAAAAAATGTCACGATCCCGATTGCACCCTAGCCTCCATAATATTATAGTTAGAACATCATCCAATAATTGCCTGGGAGGCGCGGGCGACAGTGTCAGCCAACCCTTTGCGATACTTGCCTCCAACTGCCAACATGCAATTGTCCAATTCAATACATAAAAAGACCGACCTCGAAGACCAGAAATTCTTTTTAAGTAAAAACTTGAAAAGGAATTCTCGTTTCGCCTTGCCCCTTGCTTATATTTCTGTCTCTTTTCTACCAATCTAACAAAATTGACTTACATGACACAACTAAACAATCTTGAAGATATCTTATCTAATGTGTTAGATTATTAAAATTTAGTAAAAATAACTAGTAACCTTAATTGATTAGAAGAAATATGAAGTTTTCAGGAGCAATTCTATTAGCTCTAGCAGTGTCAAGTTCTGGGAGACACATCACTCTAGAGGATGTAATAGATTTTGAAGACAATCCCGCGTTTGGGTATCACACTAAAATCGGCATACCACTAGCCGATAAAATCCGTAAATTAGAAGAAGAAAATCCATCCAGAATAATTGGTGGATCCCTTGTTAATCTTGAAAAGGTACCATATCAGGTCAGTCTCTTCAGTCACTGTTGTAAACATTTTAACTTTAAAATGATAATAAAATTGAAAGAATAACGCTGTATTTATCGTTTTCACTCAGAATAAGGAAGTTATTGGAAAAAGTCAATTAATCTTTTAATTCCAGTTATGCCTTTATGGTGATCCTGATAAGCTTTACAATTACCAAATAAGACACCTGCTTTTCTATCAAAACATAAAAAAATCATTCAAAAGATAGGATAAAATAATAAAATAAACGATTGAAAACTAAAGACAACAAACACATGATCTGCATCGGTACCCGGAATTTATATCATAATTAACTATTACGGATCAAAATGACAAATTATTATTTTAAAACGGAAATTCTTATTAATTTATCTATCACATGTGCTTGTTGTCTTGAAAATTAAAATCTAAAGATAAATGTTTCGTTATCTAGAATCGATTTTATGTACTTAGTGTGGTATAATATAATATTCGATTTTGTTCTTAGTTTCTACACTTTGTGTCATAAAAATTGATCAACTGATGGTATTGGGGTCATACATAATCACATAAAAAGTAATAGACTTGCCTTTATTTAAACCAAAACCCGTCCCTAAGATGACCCACTGACCAAACAGCATAATATGCGTAAGCACATCAGGTCGATAATGTCAATGGTGGACAGCGCGCAAGGGATGGACAAGGGTGGTATCAATTGCTTACCACCAAGTAATCCGCCTGCTTACTGCTCAATTGCCACATCCTTGTATTACAGACTTTAATGTAACATTAAAGATACAGAGTACAATCTTATCGCACAAGGGGATTTCTTACAGACAAGGGAATCGTAAGGGAATCGTAAAAAAGATTTGGAATCTTTCTTACGATTCCCGAAATCTGGAAGGGTTGTTTAGTATACAATTCTAATAAAATAAGGCGAAATGATGGCACAACAGTCAACTCCACTCGGATAGTTGAGAGAAAAAACCAATGTAATGTGATTCACGTAGGTAGTGGCACAAATTATTAAGTATTTTCAAGGCTGGTCTTATCTTTCGTCTGCCGATCGGGACATCAATTGCCGGTGGAGTCTTGATATCACAGCGAAGAGTTTTGACGGCTGCTCATAATTTAAACGATGCTGTATCGTCCGCAACAAAACTCACCGTAGTACTTGGAACAATTAATATATTCATCGCTGGAATAAGACTCGATACTGAAGAATTCACTTTGCACGAAAATTATAACGCTGCCACTCTAAGGAATGACATTGCTGTCATCAATTTACCTTATTATATTGCCTTTTCTGGTAAGTTTGAAAAAATTGAGGAAAAAAATACTTTCGTGATATTAATTGTTTAACCCTTGATATCGGAGCGTATTTTCTATTGTCATATTATACCGGCAGACAAGAGATTAAATAATAATGTAAAACAAAAGAAGAACCACAATTTTTTCAGAGACTGTCGGTCCTGCTTATTTACCTACAGAATCAATGGAAGAAGAAGATTTCGATGGGGAGACTGCTATCGTTTCTGGTTATGGACATACCTCTAGTAGTAAGAACGTTTTATTCTCATTAGATTTTTCTGTATACGCTTTAAAAATTCATATTTTTTAGCTTTAGAATTTCATGCTTTTCCAAAAAAGAACGCCATTTTCCCGGTCCGCTACTACAATATCATAGCAGACCAAGGAAGCAACGGCAGATAATTCAATTAATGTGGTAGTAATGTTGATTGTCAAAAAATACTTTCTACGCTTTAGTTATCTTTAATTATGAGGGTATATTTTTTACGATGATACTTGACTTTAGCACGACGGTTTGTGGGTAGGTGAAAAGAGACCTATTGTGTAGTGCCACGAACTATTTCTAGCGAAATAGATAAATAACATTAACAAAAAATAATAATTAATTGCATTTCTGAGATTACTACCGACCGTTTTTGCAAATAGGTTTATACAATGATATTTTCTTGCTACTGAAGGTTAGCAGTCAGCTTTTTCAATTTGTCTTTCAAACTGAGTTGCCACAATTTGACACCCGAACATTGTGTATTAGCATTAATGTTTTGAAGGAATAACTCTGGGTGATAAGACCGCCCATCGTCTAGAAATAAGCCTGCTCTTTTGAGATTTTGTGATACTGTGTACACTATATACCCATATCCATAAATAAATAAATAGGACAGGTAACAAACTCACTGATTACCTTTTGGTAAGCAATTATCGTCACCCATGGACACCGGCAGGGTGGCTGGCAGTGGTTGGATGAGAAGAGCTGCGTACAATTGGGGAAGCCTATGTCCAGCAGTGGACGACAACAGGCTCATGATGATAATGGACACCCGCAGCACTAGAGCATTTTGGGGTTTGAGTATTGGAGATGAGGAAAGAGAGACCTTTTTGAAAATAGAGCCTCGGTTCCTCACTGAGACGGCAAAACACAAGGCAAGCGACGTTTTACACTGGTTTCGTTTGAGGCCAGCACATTCGACTGGGCGCAAATGCAGCATACTATTACTATTTCATCCTTTACTCTTCTCATATTTATCAGTTGTTGTCTTACTTTAAGATCGGCATTTCGTCGTTTGGAATCGGCAGATGTGAAACTGGTTTACCATCCGTCTTCACTAGAATCACTTCCTACATAGATTGGATTATGGAACGCTCATAATACAAGGACAAAAATTAAAATGTTTTGTGTAGAAAGAAGTTCAACAGACAAAGTCTGCAAATGTTTTTTTTAATAATAATAATAATAAATAAAGTGTATCCTGTACAATAAATAACGATCCCTGTCTCTGTTAAATGTATATTTTTCCTGTAAATTATTTAAAATAAATAAATTGTATTCTTAAAAATTGTTTTAAGTATTTTATTTTTTTATATTTAACCATTATTTAACTAATATTATTTTTATAATTCTTGTATTTATATTATTGTCAAAATTAAAAACGTATAAAACCTTAAAATTATATCTATCTAAACTTTGATTTTCATACTTACGTACTTAATATTAACCTGTTAATACTACTTATATAACTTAACATATATAATACTAATATATTACCTATACTACACACATATACATATATAATACTAATATATACTAATATATTAATTTTATTATTATTGTAAACTTAACTTAATAGAACCTATAGTAAGTCAATAGTTTAGAAATCTGATCCAACAGACAAACTGTGTATACAGTTTTGTTGGACATTTTATACTTTTTATAATGTAAAATTTACCTTCCAAGCAATAAGAAATAAATAAATAATAAAAGATTTTAATTCCATATTCCATAATCAATTTAGTCGTTGAATATGCCGATTGGTACTATAAAAGGGCGTTAAACACAGACTGCACTAGCTACGAGCAATTTTAATAGTCTGATATCGAGGAAAGTAAGGAAGTAAGTAGTAATTAAGAATGTCAGTATTCTTTCATTAAGTAAGATCATAATAATCAAATTATGTGAAATAATAACATACATTACTTATTCGGAAGTAGGTCTACTGTCAAAATGAAATAAGGTTTTACGCTTTGTTTACCTGCCTACACAAAAACAAAACTGAAGGGGTAAAAACCCGAAGCCTACTTTGATATCTCACATATCGGCGCAAAATTTTCGAGTCATCAACAGCAAAACCAGATTGTTGATAAAACTGATAATAAAACCAATCAGGGAATTTTACCGTATTATTAATTTTTATAATAACATAATAACAAACTGCAAAAAGTCGGCTAAAAATAAAAAAAATACCCATTACACAGGTTCCATACATTCTTGATTAATTAAACAATTTGGTAAATAACGATTCTACAATCATTTTTCCGTTGCTTTATTTGAGCTAGATTATCCCTATCAGCCGCTTTTTACCCGATGCCGAGCATCGATCTACATATTCGAACTCTGGCTGGCTGGAAGAAATCCTTACATTTGGCTAGATGTAGTTCTCACTAAAGAAAATAATTTACAGCTATAGAAATTAGTTTATCCAAACTAATATTATAAATGCGAAAGTAAGTCTGTCTGTCTTTTCTTCACGCCTAAACTACTGAATCGATTTGTGTGAAATTTGATAGGTACAGACATTTATTTTGAAACTCAGGAAAGACCATAGGATAGTTTTAAACCAAAAATCTTCCGGAAATCGCTTACCACACCAACGAAAAAGCGCGCGGAAAAGCTAGTTTTTTTTTTATAATAACTCCTTACTCATTTAGATTAACTGAGAAAAGCTTTACTACTCTTAGTAATGACGAATTCGACTACGCGACGTCGCGCGTCGCCGCGACGTATGTACACGCTTCTCATGCCCCACACAATTACTGTCGCTGCAGAAAGCACCAGTTGTTTGCCATATCAACCTACAGAACAACCAGTAGAGCCAAATCCCAAACATACCGCGCATGATGAAACGTTTAAACAGATTCCTGGATGCACAACCAGATTGTAACGTGTTCTCGAGCAAAAGAAGACTTTTATTGTCAGAATGTTTGGCGAGATCGATGAGCGAATACAGCAATAATATTGTATACTATTTTTACTTTTGTGCCTTTATTAAATAGGTATATTTCCTAAGAATTGAGTAGTGTATTGGTTTTGTACAGAACTCTTCAAATAAGTAAATTAATAACAGTCACGTGTGACTTGATTATTATATGTATATCGCTCGTATAGTTTTTCTCAGTTTAGTAACATTAATAAATCAACATATTTTAATAAATTCAGTATACGTAATGGTAGTTCCTAATTCTAAAAATATACTTTCCAAAATTATTTATTAACTTTAAGATATAGGTTACCGAATTCGCTTACGGTTGCCGGATATCGCCGCTTGATCCCAACGCCCGGAATGTCGCCTTCTGTGGTGACTGGCCGTAAGGAGGATTCTCACGCGCTCCGTCTCCTTCTTTGCGAGTCTTACTGCTTCGTAGAAAGAGGAGACGGCTTCGTAGTTCCTCACCATGCGTTCGACTAAGACCGGAGGGGAGAGGTCACCGCCATCGTATGCTCCATCGTGTCTTACTAAAACATGTTAAATTACGTGATAATAAAATATTATTTTTGTCACCATTCTTCCTTTCAACACGATCGTCGAAAGAGTGGTTTAGCGGTTCACTTTGTGTGATCCACAAATTGTTGTTTCGGGTCTGGGTGTCATGGTGTATGTGACATTGTATGTTTGTAAACGCACCTACAACACAGGAGAAAATCCTAAAGTGGGGCAAAGTTTTTTTCAAAAAAAATAATTAAAGAATGAAAGGGGAGACCCTACTACTGATGATGAATTCAAACAACGAAAGCACAAAATTAACTCAGAAGGACAAAATACAAATCACAAAAACGTAACACAACATTCTGAATCTAATTATTATTTATTATTGTCTATAAATATTATAAAGAGGAAATTGTAGGTACAAACCTACAATTTCCTCTACATACAAATGTAGGAGACAATATTTGGTAACCGATCGAATTTTCAAAATTCTTTCTCTGGTAGATACAATGTTCCTGAGTGGTATAGGCACAATATACATACCTATACTTTATTCATGTACGGAAAGTAGTTCCGCCAGGACGCGAGCGAAACTGCGCGAAGTAGCTGGTACATTACAATATCATCTTTTTGGTTTGCTCACGGAGTTAGTTGTACGTTAAACCCAAAATGAATTTCATATTTTAATCACATCATGAAACAAATATTTAATATATATTTAATTCAGCATGCGAGGGCTAAGCTTCGGCATGAATAGATCGGAACGACCGGAGTGATACCACGGTCTGACAGAAACCCGATGTGAGACAACTATAGCGTTGTGTTTCACTGTGTAAGTGAGGTCACTGGAGGCAGAATACTTTCTCTCCCCGATCCCTAAATCTCCGAAACATTAAGTCCCTAAAAGGCCTTGGAATAGTAGGTCTCCTCAGGTAATCCGTCGTTTGCCAACCTATCACATAAAAATTGTATGTTACATTGAAAATTTGCAAAATTATCATATTTTTTGCAATTTGTGTTGTTAAAATTGTTACGTGCATGCTCACACACATAGATTTAGTTTACTGTTAATTAAGTTGTTTTAAGAAGAAGAACATTAGTATATGTTCTTAATGTTACGTAGATGTAATTAAGATAAGAGAGAGCGGCCTCTCCTGACACAAGTGTTTTCACACCTAAAAGAAAAGGTCAACCTCAATATGGGAGGTATTCCATGAAGCACACCCAAACGAAGCACACCCAACGAAGCCCACCTAAAGTATACTACTTAGCACACCCGCTTCAAATAAAAATTTAAAATAATTAATTTTCTATTCCACGAAGCACACCTACGAATATCACTCGCATAGTGCGGGGACTGAGTGGAATACTTTAGGTGGGCTTCGACTGGGTGTGCTTCGTTTGGGTGTGCTTCGTGGAATACCTCTTGTTGTACAAACTTTTAAATGTAATAAAACATTTTTTTATTTTTTATTTTCATTTTACTGGAACAATATAAGATTAGATTTGAAATAATTCGATTTAAGATGCATTCCAAAACATTTTATACTAATGCTTATAACTCGTACTTATAAGTCTTCCTAGAAAGTTCTTTGACCACTTAGCATTTAGACAGGGTTTTCCATCGTCTACAATGACGTTGGTAATCCATATTTTCCCAACGTTATCTTTTAATCTGGTGACAACTAACTTACAAAAACCCTACGATAAACTAATTAACTTATCATCAAACTAATAACGTTGATATCTACAAATTATCTGAAAGTAACTGTATAAATAGTCAACCCTGAAAATCGTAACTCATCTTGCTTCCTACGTTGAGACAATATGAAGTTCCTGGCTCTAGCACTCTTCGCTTTGGCGGCGGTGGCCACCGCTAAAAACATCCACTTTGAGGATGCTATCGACCTAGAGGACATCTCCGCCTACGGATACTTGTCCAAAATCGGTAAGCCCCTTGCCGATGAAATCCGTGAAGCTGAAGAAAAAGCTAGTGCATCCAGAATCGTCGGTGGTTCCCACTCCGAGCTCGGACAGTTCCCCTACCAGGTAATTATGACACTTAAAAAGAAAAACGTGTTTGTAAATAAAAATTAAATAATAAATGCCTTGCCTTGCCATTACCCTGGGCATTTTTTTTTTAATTGAAATTTATTTATTGAATTTGGCACAGGCTGGTCTTCTCGCCGACTTCTGGATTGGTCAGGGTGTGTGCGGTGGTTCTTTGATTAGCGCCAACCGTGTGCTTACTGCTGCTCACTGCTGGTTTGATGGTATTGACCAGGCCTACAGATTCACCGTAGTTCTTGGCTCAGTTCGTTTATTCAGTGGTGGCCAAAGGTTTACAAGCAGCAATGTTATTATGCACTGGGGCTGGAACCCCAACTTGATCCGCAACGACATTGCTGTAATAAGGCTGGGCTCTGACGTGTCCTTCTCAGGTTCGTAGCATTTTTTAGATTAACGTTTAACTCCTTTTGATAGTAGTGCTCTCATAACCAGTGAACTATTTGTGTGCATTTTTTGTATAAAAGTATTTTTAACTTTCTTTTTGAGTATTTGCTCTAATTATTTAAATTCGTTTTCAGACATCATTGCTCCTATCGCCATTCCAAGCGGAGGCTTGATCAACGAAAGCTTCGACGGTGAAGTCGCTGTCGCCTCTGGATTCGGTCGTACCAGCGACAGTAAGTATTTTTGTTTTGTACTAATTTTAACATTATTTTATTGTTGCGTATCAGACTAACATATCGACTTGTTTGTTCTTAGATGTTGGAGTCTCAGTCAACCAGGTGCTTAGTCACGTCGAACTTTCCGTGATCTCCAACGCGATCTGCAGAGCTTCCTTCCCCCTGTATATTCAGGACTCTAACATCTGTACCAGCGGTGCAAATGGCAAGAGCACATGCCGTGGTGACTCCGGTGGTCCTCTTGTTGTCAACGTAGATGACAGCCCTGTCTTGGTATGTATTTTAAATAAAATATATTTGTTATATCGCTGACTGCCTTGCAAAACTAGTATTGTCCAGCTTAATTTTTTCTGGAAATTATTCCTGCAGAAGCAACAATAGCTGTCCTTGTTTTTGGACTTAGTTCTCCATAATAATATTTATAGATTATTGACATTTTCACATGACATCATTACTGAACTGAACTTCATGTTATTAACAATTTTCTTGCGAAAAATTGTACTAATATTCACTTTTTCAACAGATTGGTATCACTTCCTTCGGATCTGCCCGTGGTTGCGAAGTTGGCGCCCCCGCTGCTTTCGCCAGAGTTAGCTCTTACGTTTCCTGGATCAACGATCAGCTTTAAATAAGATGATCTTGAACGCATATCTTGTCTCTCTCTTCTATAGTAACAATCTCACGCAAAATGGTCAATAACTTTATTTCATTACTAAATGTATAATTTTTTTACTTTGTAAGTGTATATACACATTTAAATCTGTTAATAAATTATATTCACATAATCAATTATTTTCTGTGTTTATATTGATTGCTTATCGTTCCTAAATTCAAAAAATATACTGCTTATTCGTTTGTTTAGGCTTTATTTTATTATTATTTTGTATGTTCCTTTCCACGCACGGGACTACAGGGTCCCGGACTTTTGGAAGGAGTACGAGGAGCCGAAGCCAACTCGCAGATGCCCTTTGAAGAACTTATATATATGTGAAATGGGTCATCAGCCGGCAATTATCCCTGTATGCACTATGAAAGTCCACCTAAGGACAATCCCCGGTTAATGGAGGACTATTGCGAAATGTGGTAAAAAAATATAGGGTTATGTGTACGGTTTGCTATGGACTGGTGGATATGATAACTATGGAAATAGTTATAGATAATAGAAATAGCCCCTGCCCCTGACCAATACTGATACATACCGATAAACAGGCAGGGGGTAACTGGCAAACTCAATTAATGGGCCCCCGGAAACGGCCGCTAGCATGTAGCGACAAGGGGGCAACATACGTTGAGCTGCTTGGGGAAGGAGAGGCATCCCACGGCTATCAGAGCAATCCCGGAAGTACAGTCAAGACCCCTACCAGCATCTTACTGAAATACATCCTTCGAAAATAATAATAGACAATACAAAAAGCACCTGACAAAAACGTAATTGCCGTCAGAATAGCATCAGGTGCATTGCCGGTCTTTGATAGACAATGTTTAAGAGCATTTAGTATTATTTCATCTAAGCATACTTTACACTATATACAGGGTGAAAAAAGACACTTAACGAAGCCGTTAACTACGCATACTGCAGTTCTAACTAAGTAGCTTTACGCTAAAATTATCACTGGGAAACGACTTTTATTTTTAGGTATCAAAAAAATAATAATTTTATTGCGCGCAATGTAAAGCAAACGGGCTTCGTGTCATTGTGTGCGAAGGTTCACAGCTTAGCATTAAAACTCTGTGATAAATACGTAGGTCCACGTTTTACTTCGCAACAACAAAACAATTATGTAAAATAAAAATCCTACTGAGATGCACGATGTTTTTTGTGCGGGTCTGCATTTATTTATTACGTACATTACTGTTCGTAGGTAACTTCAAATGCGTAATTTATTTAGAAAAATCGAAAATTCAGGTAATGTTTGTTTGGATATAAGTTTTGTAATAATACATAGAATTCGATTGCGCAAAAAAAAAAATTAAAATGCATCTTTGACCTACAATATCTCGAGAACGCGTGCAGACCCAGCTACGGTCTTAAAGAAAAAAAAGATCCAAATAATGGGTAGAATACGTGGCTTTCGGCTTCGTTAAGTGTATTTTTACACACTGTATACTAATATTATAAAGAGGTACATATAATTTGTAAGTTTATATGTAGGGGGTAATCTTTGGAACAGCTGGTCGGATTGCCAACATTCTTTCACTGATAGGTAGCCAAAAAGTCAAAAGTCAAAAAGTCAAAAATCATTTATTTCAATTAGACCACAGTAGGCACTTTTGAACGTCAAGCAAGCAAAAAAGTATATAACAAGAGCTTTAAAATTAAGCGTGTCAGTCTGTCCGTCTGTCCTCTAGTGAAGCTATTTGCTCGTTCCAAAGTGTAGATTCCTATGGAGAAGAACGAGCAAGAAAGTCCATGGTTACTCTTTTTCAATCAGTTTTACAATACATTTCTTTGTTACATCATTTAGTCGGTTCTGATATGTGAGAACAATGTAACACTAATGTTCAGGCAAAAAGTACGAAAAAGAAGTGAACCTCAAGGACAACATAATTACACAGCCTGGAGCTGACCAGTCCCAATAGGCGGCGCCCGTTCACGAACATGACACGTACACCAGCACCGCCCAACTCAACCATATTATAGGGAATTGGGCGATCCAGTGCCCGTGCCACCGCCAATGAGACCTCTGAGTGAGCATGACAGCTCCCAGCCGACACAAGTACCTATATTCTACAAGTCTTACTTAATTATAATAGGTTACAGGGCACTCACATTTACAAAAACTTAGAAGATCATCAACAATTAACAACATAGTGTACAAATTAATAATTAAAATCAAAAATTTCTCTAAACATCCTGTGGAGTAGGACCAGCCAGCCTCCAAGCATTTTTATCTTGTATATAATCATTTAGTTTGTAGTATGCTAGTTTACATAAATGTTTCTTTATACATAATTTGAATTTGCTTTCATTTAGATTTTGAATTTCAACTGGGATTTTATTATAACATTTAACACAGAAACCCAGGAATGACTTATGCACTTTTGCCAATCTAAATAAAGGCTGACTCAATCTATTCCTATATCTAGTATGATAATCATGTTTGTCAGATACCTTTACAAATAAGTGTAGGTTTTTCCTAACATACATAATGTTTTCATAAATAAATTGACTCGGTACGGTCAGAATGTTGATCTCCTTAAACTTTTCTCTGAGAGATTCGCGACGACGTAAGTTATATATAGCTCTGACTGCACGCTTTTGCAAGATAAAGATAGACTCAACGTCGGATGCCTGTCCCCACAACAGAATTCCATACGACATGATGCTGTGAAAGTAGCTAAAGTACACTAGTCTTGCCGTGCCTACATCGGTTAGCTGACGGATCTTCCAGACAGCATAAGCTGCAGAGCTCAATCGTCCTGCAAGAGACCTGATGTGGGGCCCCCATTGCAACTTCTCATCTACAGTGATCCCCAGAAAAGTAGTCTCTTTTACAAATTCTAGTTTCTGATCATTTAATAATATATCATCACATACGTTACTTTTAACATTTGGTAAAATAAATCTAATGCATTTAGTCTTTTTATCATTTAGTAATAAGTTGTTTATTGTAAACCAATTTTGAACCTTCATTAAGGCATTATTAACTTCGTCATACTTGTGGGTTCGTCTAATTATTATAAAAATCAATGAAGTGTCATCAGCGTACAATACCATATGCGGTTCATTTTGGAACAAATGGAGCAGGTCATTCACATAAACTAAAAATAGAAAAGGACCTAATATTGAGCCCTGCGGTACGCCCGTAGATACGCTAGCACCCAGTGAGTTAACTTTGTTGACTTGTACTTTAATTTTTCTTTCTTGAAGGTATGATTTCAATAAATCTAGGGATACCCCCCGAATGCCGTAGTGTTCTAGCTTCAGTAACAGCGTATCGTGCTCAACACAGTCGAATGCCTTTGAAAGGTCGCAAAATATTCCGATGGCATCCTGTGCTTTTTCCCACGAGTTGAAAACTTGTTTTATAAGTGATACTCCTGCGTCCGTAGTGCAACGTCGTTTGGTGAACCCGTATTGATGGTCATGGAAAATAGAATTCGTGTTAAAGTGACGCAGCATTTGAGTAAGCATCAACCTTTCGAACACTTTACTGAGCACTGGCAAAATAGAGACCGGCCTATAGTTATTAGGTTCTGTACTATCACCTGATTTAAATAATCATCATCATCATCATCATATCAGCCACAGGACGTCCACTGCTGAACATAGGCCTCCCCCATTGACTTCCAGATAGGCCGGTTGGAAGCGACCTGCATCCAGCGGCTTCCTGCGACCTTAATCAGGTCGTCTGTCCACCTTGCGGGTGGACGTCCCACGCTGCGCTTGCCGGTACGTGGCCTCCACTCGAGAACCTTTCTGCCCCAGCGGCCGTCGGTTCTACGCGCTATGTGCCCTGCCCATTGCCACTTCAACTTACTAATCCGCTGGGCTATGTCGGAAACCTTTGTTCGTTTGCGGACATCCTCGTTTTTTATACGGTCTCGCAAAGAAACTCCGAGCATAGCCCTCTCCATAGCGCGCTGAGCGACCTTGAGCTTCTTTATAAGGCCCACAGTAAGAGACCACGTTTCAGTTCCATAGGTCATCGCTGGTAACACACATTGATTATAGACTTTCGTCTTAAGGCACTGAGGTAAGTTGGACGAGAAGATGTTGCGTAGTTTCCCGAACGCTGCCCATCCAAGTTGGATTCGACGATTGACCTCCTTCTCGAAATTGGACCTACCTAGCTGGATCACTTGTCCCAGGTATACATATTCGTCAACAATTTCGAGGTTAGAACTTCCAACTGATATCGGATAGGGCGTGACATGGGCGTTTGCCATGACTTTCGTCTTGTCCATGTTCATTCGGAGCCCTACCTGTTGAGAAACTCTACAGAGGTCATCGAGCATTGTGCTCAGATCCTCCAGCGATTCTGCCATGACTACAATGTCGTCGGCAAACCGGAGGTGAGTGATGTACTTGCCGTTGATGTTGATGCCAGATCCTTTCCATTCCAAGAGCTTGAAAGCGTCTTCCAATGTAGCGGTAAACAGTTTCGGAGATATGACGTCTCCTTGCCTTACACCTCGCTGCAGAGGAATATTCTTAGTGCTCTGGTTTTGTACTTGGACCGACATAGTGGCGTTTGTGTATAAGCACTTCAAAACCTCGATGTACCGAAAGTCAATATGGCACCGCTGGAGAGATCTTAACACAGCCCAAGTCTCGATCGAATCAAAAGCCTTCTCATAGTCCACAAACGCCAAGCATAGTGGCAAGTTATACTCCTCGGTCTTCTGTATAACTTGCCGCATCGTATAGATGTGGTCTATGGTACTATAGCCTTTCCGGAAACCGGCTTGTTCGGGAGGCTGGAAGTCATCGAACCTACGTGTGAGACGATTTGTGATGACCCTCGAGAATAACTTGTAGACATGGCTCAGAAGTGAGATGGGTCTATAATTTTTCAGTAGAGTGTTATCTCCCTTCTTGAAGAATAGTACCACCACACTTCTGCTCCATGCCGCCGGCGTTGCTCCTTCGAATATGACGGAGTTGAAGAGCTTCTGAAGGACTCT